AAAAAATTGATTATTCCTTCAATAAAGTTCACATTATCAGAATTAGTATACATAATTATCATAATTCCATCTAATGTATCAAATTTTAGTTGCATTCATATCCTCTTTTTAAGTGATTACTCGTATTTTTTCAAAAACATCCAAAAATCATTATATTTTAGATAATCATCATAAAAGACCATTTTGAAAATTTGAAAAAAGCAATTATATTTTTGGATAACTATCACAAAGGATATCACATTTTTTTAAATACCCATAATATGATGTCGTCAAATTATGTCACATCATCATACAAAGTTATTAGTTGATATGTCAACTGGCAACCTTGTTGACCGATTAAATGAGTATACTTATAACAAATTGATAAAAGAAGTGTCCAACTTGAGAAAAAAAAATACATTGTCAAAATCAATTTTTTATGATAACTAAATTTGTTTAGGCTTTACCATTTATTATAAAATATGATCAAATAACAAAATTAATTATAAATTAAAGAAAGACATGAGATCAGATATAACTTTTATTCCAATACTTATGATGAAATCATCGAAGTTTACAATACATAATATTCACTATTTATACTAGATAATGAAGATGAAATGTGAGGTATGTTATGAATGTTAATTATAGTGGTGCATAACTACAGTTATAAAACTCATAATAATGTTTGCTATAATGTTCACTAATTATGGAGAATAATAGGGGAATATGGATAATTCAATAGTAATTCACTAAATAATAATTCATAACACTCCCCCTTGAATGACGATTATATCATGCCTCATTAAAACTTTAATAGGTAAAACCTCATGGGAAAAACCATTTATTAAGGAAAAAGAGTACATGATTAATAATAGATCTTTGAAACAATTGTCTCGTTAAAAACCTTGCTAAGAAAACCCAGTGGGAATACATAGCTAAATAAAAGAGTACAATATATTTCCAACTCCTCCTGATCAACAAATCACTTGATTTCCTTGAAGCACCGCATAGCAATGTTTCGTATCATCTTTTCAAATTTGGATGTATGAAGTGCTTTAGTAAACAAATCGAGAAAGTTGTTACTTGATTGAATTTTCTGGATGTTAATGCCACAATCTTTTTGAAGATTATGAGTGAAAAAGAACTTGGGTAATATATGCTTGGTTCTATCACCTTTAATAAATCCTTCATTGAATGGAGCTATACAAGTCGTATTATCTTTATATAGTATGGTTGGAACATCACTGTTAGAAGTTAGACCACAATTCTTACGAATGTGTTGAGTTAACTTTCTTAACCATGTACATTCATGACTTTCCTTATAAATTGTTATAATCGCTGCATGGTTAGAATAAGCAGCAACTAATGTTTGTTTAAGAAAATGACAAGAAATTATGTTACATCCGCAAGTGAATAAATAACCTGTTTGGGATCAAGCTTTGTGTGGATCAGATAAATATCCAATATCTGGATATCCAATTAACTCTGCATTTGATGAATTTGCTTAGTATAAGTTCATATGCACTATACCTCGAAGATACCAAAGAATATGTTTGACTCCATTACAGTGTGTTCTCATTAGGTAAGAACTATAACTTGCTAATAAGTTTATAGAAATATATATATATATATATATATATATATATATATATATATATATATATATATATATATGTATATATATATATATATCATGTATTGTATTATTAGCAAGATACATTAGTGCACAAATAGCACTAAGATATGGTACTTCGGGGCCAAGAAGTTTTTCATGTTATTCATAACCTCGAAATTGGTCCTTTTTGGCATCTAGGTACCTTACCACCATCGGGTTACTCAATGGATGTGATTATCCATATAAAGCCTTATAAGCACGTTTGCTAAATAATTGGATTGATGTACAAGAACTCCATTTTGGTGTGCTAAATTTGAAGACCCAAACAAAATTTCAACTTACCAAGATCTTTCATTCTAGGTTTTTTTTTTTTTTTTTTTTTTGTTCAAACAAGAAGTGACCTTTTCTAATTCTCTAGGAGTTTCAATTATGTTCAAATCATCTACATAAAAATCAATTATGACAACTTCTGGTCTTGAACTTTTTATGAATACACATGGGCTTATTGGATAATTTTTATAGCCATCTTTCAACAAAAATGTACTTAATCAATTGAACCGCATGTGGTCTTAGATTTATTTAATTTTACCAAACATACTTTTTGAGAATTAGACGTTTGTGCTTCTGGCATCTTAAACTCTTACAGTATTTTCATATAAATAGGCGGTAAATACATCCATTAGACACATCTCCAGTTTTGCATATGTTGTCGAACTTATAAAATAACTAAATGTAATTACATCAACTACTGGAGAATATGTTTGGGAAAACCTTGTGCAACAAGTCTTGTTTTATATCTCACAACTTCATTTTTCTCGTTTCTTTTGTGCATAAATACCCATTTGTGTCCCACGAGTCTTACTCCGTTTGGTGTACAGACTTTAGGTCAAAAAACTTTTCATTAAGTAAGAGAATTAAGCTCTTCGATGATTGCAATTTTCCATTTTTTCCAATCTTTTCCATTCCTACATTCCTCCATGGATTTAGATATAATATCCTCATTTTATTCATAATCTCGCGCGCAACATGATATAAAATAATTATCATCGACATCTATCTTATTTTGGTTCCATCTTATTCCTATCATAACATAATTTATTGAGATCTCTTTATTTTCATAATTTTTAGGTACCTTAGTTTCTTTTGTTATTTCATTGGGCTCTTCTAGAGCTTCATTAATCATTTTAAGAGATTTTTGTTTTATATTTTTGACAATCAGTTATATTTGCTCTCATTCCTTTTTAAGAATTTTTATCTGTGGAACTGGTTGGTCTTTTACGATTCAGGCGTGGCTTAGATTTATTTGCTGTTGTATTTTTCCTTTTGGGATATCAATTCTAATTGGAGCATTTACAACCGGTACATGAGACATTGTTACTCATTTAGGGTCAGTAAATGCATATTGCAACTGATATGCTACATTTTGTATATGAATTATCTTTTTCAAGTTTACATTAACTTGAACGAGGATCTAAAAATGAGAGTGATAATTCATTGCAAGAGATTTTATTTTTTAGATTCTTTATTTCTCCCTCTAATGTTGGAAAAATCGGTTCTCAAAATGACAAACGTCAAATCTAGCTATAAATAAATCTCCAATTAATGATTCTATTTTTTTATTTAAATATAGATGAAGATTTATATTCAACATAAATTCTCATTCTTCCTTGAGGACCCATTTTTGTGCAGTGACGTGGAGAAATGCGTACATAAATTGCACATACAAACGTCCTTAGATGAGAATTATTTGGTTCCTGACCGCAAACTAGTTGAATAGAGAAGAACTTATGATAACTAGTTGGCATGATGTGTATAAGTGATGTTTTATGTAAAATTGCATGCTCTTATGTCAATTAAGAAGTTTATAATGCATTATTAAACGTTTTGCAATTAATTGAAGGCATTTGGTTAACGACTCAGCTAGTCCATTTTGCATATGAACATGTGCACCAAGATGTCCAATAGTTATCCCAATTTACATGCAATATTCATTAAAAGCTTGTTATGTAAATTCTCCAACGTTGTCAAGTTGAATTTTCTTAACTGGGTAATCAGGGAAAATGTGCACTTAGGCGGATTATTTGTGCAAGTAATCTTGCGAAAATGATATTATGGCTAGATAACGAGCACACGTACGACCATCTAGTTGACGTGTCAACTAAAACCATAAAATATCTAAATGGTTCACATGGTGGATGAATTAGTCCACATATATCCCCTTGAATTCTTTCTAAGAAACTAAGACTCTTATACACAACTTTATTCAATGATGGATGAGAAATTAATTTTCTTTGAGAACATGCAACACAAGATAATTCATTGGTTTGAAAAATCTTCTGGTTATTCAATGTATGTGTTGTTGCACTGTCTACAAGACATATATCTTCCTCATTTCTTTTACGAATATCCATATTTCTCTTCAATAAATAAATAAATAAATAAAGCATAAGAAACATTCGGCTAAGAGAAATAAAGACATAGTTTACTACTTTGGGAAGATTGTGACAACATCATTTCTCATGAAACGAATATGACACAAAAACATAATAAATGTCATGAAACAAAACTACACATTATTCACTATCCATAGCACCACTTGTCCATTTTGGGAGACAAGAAAATTGATGACATCCAAATGTATCAAAATAAAGATTTGTATGTTAAGGAATTATTAGTTAAGAAAGTCCAAAAAAATAACTTGTAAGCATTGTATATGTTAACTTATAAAAAACACATACTTAAAAATGACAATAGTGATAAAGAGTTAGAGCTCTATGGTAGAATCTTATCGATAACGTGTTATAAAATATGATCAAATAACAAGTTAAATTATAAAGTAAAGAAAGACATGAACATGAAAATAACTTTTATTCCAATACTTGTGACGAAATCATGGAATTTTACAATACATAATATTCACTATTTATACTTGACAATGAAGATAAAATGTGGGTTATGTTATAAATACTTATTATAATGGTGCATAACTACACTCATAAAACTCATAATAATGATTGCTTCATAACACCCTTATAGTTTTGAATCTTTATTACTTTTTTCAAAATAAAACAAAGAACAACATTCTATGTGATTCTCGCTTTCGAACCTTACCCATATAATCCAATTTCCATTTATTTGATTTTGTTTTCAAACGAACGAGTTAAATAAAGTAATATACACAATTTAGTAAATTTGATCAACCAATTTTAATTATTCATTTAAAAAGTACTTTAAAATTGAGCCCAAACGCCCAAAGTATGTCCAGCCTTGATAAACAAGGCCCAATAAACAAACCCTAGCATTTCATATCCAGATATAAACCTCTATATCGCTTCTCTAGGGTTCCTCTTCCTAAATCTCACTTCACTCTCGTGCGTTTCTTGTATAACCAAACAAGCAAACCATGGCTGAGAGAGGCGGAGAACGCGGTGGATTCGGTAGGGGGTTTGGAGGCAGAGGAGGCCGTGGTGGAGACCGTGGCAGAGGCCGCCGTCGTGGTCCTCGTCGGGATGCAGAAGAAGAAAAGTGGGTGCCCGTCACCAAGCTTGGTCGTCTCGTGAAAGACGGTAAGATTTCCAAACTCGAAGAAGTCTACCTTCACTCCCTCCCAATCAAAGAACACCAGATCATTGATCAGATCCTCCCTTCACTCAAAGACGAGGTCATGAAGATCATGCCTGTCCAGAAGCAGACTCGTGCTGGACAACGAACACGGTTCAAGGCTTTTGTGGTTGTTGGAGATGGGAACGGCCACGTCGGGTTGGGCGTTAAGTGTTCGAAGGAAGTCGCAACTGCGATTAGGGGTGCGATTATATTGGCGAAGTTGTCGGTGATTCCGGTGAGGAGAGGTTATTGGGGAAACAAGATTGGTAAGCCACATACCGTTCCGTGCAAGGTCACCGGTAAATGTGGTTCAGTTACCGTTCGATTGGTTCCGGCACCCCGTGGTGCAGGGATTGTGGCTGCTAGAGTTCCGAAGAAGGTCCTTCAGATGGCTGGTATCGATGATGTGTTTACATCTTCCCGTGGTTCTACCAAGACACTAGGAAACTTTGTCAAGGTTCAATTTCATTCATTTCCTTTTTCATCGATAACAACTTCCCTTAAATTGTTGTTCTTGATCAATTATTATACCTGCACAATTGCATTTATACTTGCTTTGTTTGATAACATCTTGTGTACATTAACAACCTAATTGTTATTACTAATGCGATATTTGATTATACAGGCTACTTTCGATTGCCTTTTGAAGACTTATGGATTCTTGACTCCTGACTTCTGGAGGGAGACAAGATTCAGTAGATCTCCATTCCAAGAGTATACTGATTTGCTTGCAAAGCCCACCACAAAGGCAATTACTTATGTTGAAGATGTTGCTGCTGAAATTGCTGCTTGAAAATCATGGGGAGAGTATGTTTTGTCTTTAGAACGTTTTGATTATAGATTGTTACCAGTCGTTTTTAAACAATTTTATGTTTTGAGTTATGCTTGTTTTGGCTATGGTATGGTTGCACATTCATATTTTCTAATATTATGGTGATTTTTTTTTTATTTATTGCTCTGATGAAACTGTTGAATGGTTGAATGTTCAAGTCTTATGAGAGCCAGATGGAAATTTAGATTAGATTTGCTGTTCCAAATTTTTTTTAACTATTACTTATATATATATTTTTATAAATATTATTTTTATCTTTTAAAATAAAAATGACCCCACCTGGGCCTTTGTTCATGTTCTAGATCTAGTTTTCCAATTGAATACTTGCAAACAATTTCATCGTCGTATAACAAAATCAAGCTCCAAAATTTCATCGTTGTAGCAAAATTGGAGCAACTTTTTGGATTATCATCAGAGGAGATTAATTCATGAGCTTGTTTTAGTAAATACGACATAAGGTATTTCAGTTTTTCGTTTTTCTTTATACTCGATTTCAATCCTAGCTTCTTAGGGCAAGCATTAGATTTCGTTTTAAAAACCGGTTTCAGATTTGTTGCTGAAGATGAAGGTTTAGCAACCATTCAACTAATTCGTTTTCTTGTTGTCATCATCTATTACAATGGTTTCCGATTGCTCTTTCTCCTCATTTTTTACTTCGATGTTTGAAAATCACATTGATCAAGGAACCGTAGTTAGGAATCGATTTGTATTCCTGACCGCAAGATAAGTAACTTGAAGAAGATTGGAGCTTTCCATTTTGCATATGTTGTTAAAGAGTTGATCCGTGAAGTTTTCGTTGATTGCAATGCTTAAATCGATTGAATCGGTGTTGGGAGTTGCGTGTTCATTACAGTTTCGTATTTTGGTTTATTTTGGTTACAGATTTTAGAAAATTGGTGTTGATTTCATTTAGGTTTGAGCTTTAGATTATGGATTTAGTATTAGGCTTTAGGTTCTGGTTCTAGTATTTGATATGGTGGTTGTAAGAGGTGCAGTGGGGGCGCCAACAGTGGTGGATTGTTTCAGAGAAAGAGCAAGACGAAGGAGGGATAAATGGAGGTGGGACCCACAAAAATTTAATATCTTTTAGAATAATTATATAATTAAATTAAAGGCAATATAAATGATTTAAATACATTAAAAAATACTATATTAAGGGCAATATAACCTTTTATGTCTATAGGGATCAGATGTCCAAGTTAAAACCAAACAAGGAACGGTTCGAATTAATTTTTAAAAAATAAGGATATAAGGTAACTATAAATAAGGATATAACGTAACTTTTGGTATCTGTACGAGAGATGATTCGTATAATTTACTCTAAAACCAATTTTCTATTATTCCAGTACACACCCAATTCAACCTAATATTTTACTCTTTTGCAATTGAGGTTAAACCAAACCAATTTGGAAGATGTAAACAACTTAATTTTTTTCATTGTTGAATGTTTTTCATACATTCTTAATCACATCGTCTTCTAGGGCATTTAAGCTATTCTCTTACAAACTCGTGCCCTATGAGCATATAATTGGATATGTATGCAATTTGTTTAGTAGAGTATTGAAAAGGCTGTTCATCTTATGTGGTTATAATCTCATGACTTATAATAGTAAATGTGTGGATTGTTAATCTTCAATGATTATATTATGAATGATGATACATGCAATCAAAATATTATACATCATATTTTTGCCCCAAACAAAACAAACATTAAAGAAATGCAAAACGAGCTTTTAAATTTTCAAATATTGTTTCAACATCTTCTCTAGCAGTCTCCTCATGTTCAGTGAACAACAAGGCATCCCACGAAGAGCATATGGCATCAATGAGATAATAAGTCATATTTTTTCCTTATTATTCACGATGTAACTCATCATTGGTGCTCGACCTGCCAAGACATCATCAAAAAGAGATCGTTGGAGGATGTTAATGTCATTGCACGAATATAATGTTTCGAAGAATGTATGTCATATTTATAAGTCATATGATGCAACGACTTCTAAAATCCATGTTCTTCCCCAACAAGGATTAATCTGTGCCAAATCATCTTGGTTGAGACTTCGAAAGTACCATTCATGAAAACATGAAATGATACCTTCTACAAACTTTGTAAGAACGTCCTTTGTTAAAGTCTCACTTATTTTCAAATACTCATCACGTGTATTTGTTGATGTCCAATATGTGAATACCCACATACCAATAACTTTGCGTTTAATAAAGATGATATCGGCAACTGCGCGTTTAAGAAAAATAATACTGAAAACTTTGCATTCAATCAAAGCATAATGAAAATATATTACAAATACTTTGAAATACAAATACATAGTAAAATATCTCACAAAGATATTAAAAACATGAAAAAAAAATACATAGTAAAATATCTTACAAATACATTAGTTTCCATAAAATTTAGACATTAGAATACGTTTCATGTATTCTTCTTGAGACGACACGAGCTGCTTTTGTAGAAGTGTGCTCAAATGACGACATGAGTTGCTTTTGTAGAAGTGTGCTTAAATGTTCTAGTTGCATCTTCATTATCTTATTTTCTTCCATTTTTTGCTCATTTTGTTTTTTTTCATGATTTTTACTAAATTATCTCTACTAAGCCTCATGGTAGCAAGGAACTTAGAAAGGGTTAGAAATTAAGAGTTTAAGATTTGATATGAAGTATGCCAATATTATATTTTATTTATATAGAAAAAAATCATGAATTTTAGTATTTAAAACACAATTGATTAAGATAATGTTAGATTTTTAAAGATAATAAGTTTTATTCAATAACTATATAACTAAATCTTCACTGAAAAACTCATGGTAAAAGTAATTGAGGTGATCTGTTGTGAGCTGAGACGGAGGTATGACCTAGGTCACTAACATTAAAGAAGTTTTTTTTTTTTTTTGAAAGTACAGCAAGCTTTCGTCCAAAACCCCTCAAATAGGGTAGTCTTATATCACTATGAGAAAGACCTTAGGGTTTAAATTGTCAAATATAATTTTATATTATTGAAGGCTAAATTACAAAAATTGTTCTCATATTTTGATTAAAATTATAGGTTTGATTCGATCTTTGAAAAATTGATCGAGACCATCATTGTGGTTTGAAGAAATTACACTAATGGTCATCTCATTTAATTTTATTAGAAAACAACTCTTAGACAAATGACATTTACTGTCATTTATATCTTTTGCTATTTTTATTATTATTTTCATTTATTCATTTTAATATTTATTAAAGGCCGATCATACCGTCTCAACCTCTTAGCCAAAAAGTTCTTACAATTATATTCTCATGCAATACTACCATTCTTACAAATCAACCACCTAGCAATACCACCTACCATTTTTTATTCTCTCACGTTAGTAAACACCTAACCACGCTCCAACTACCATCCACCACCATCTATTACTACCACTTGCCACCCACCACCATACTCTCCACAATCCATGCATCATCAATTGCGATTACCACAATCATCATCTCCAGGGCCAGTCTTACTGTACAAAAAAAATAAGCTCTTGCTTAGGTCCCCCAATTGTAAGGGGCCCCTTAACCCAAAATTAAATTAGGGGATTGCTTTTATTCAGATTCTTCATTCACCATGAGGCAGAAACGGCGACTCGATAATTGTTCTTCACTTCTTCTTCTTTCTTTGTCCTACGAATCTAGTTAACTTATTAGTGATTTCATTCTTGATTCTACCTAGAAGCGCACAAAATGAGAAAATCTGTTTTTTAAACTTTTATGTATAATATGACTTAATTTTTTTTCAATATTCGTTGTGTTAAGTTGAATTTTGGAAAGGATAAGGGTTTAATTTATAACATTAAGTATAGTAATGACAAAGAGCCTCAAATTTTTGGTTCACTTAGAACCTCTATACTGGCTGAGCCGCCCCTGATCATCTCAATTCAAAATCACAAATCTTGTCCAAATTCACAAGTTGATAATAGATGCAAAATTTAATAAAAAAAAATTATCTATCTTTAACGTTCAACTCCATATGTAGAAGATCGGTAATCAAAAGAAAAATAAAACCGAGATTTTGAATGTAGTAGAAACATCATCTTCATCTTTATTCCATTTCATAAAATCAAAAAGCTAAAGTACAACAATATATTTTGATTTGTTTTTATATATCACACTGGAATTACCATCCTAGATATGAAAAATAGATTCATTATTTAACTGAAACTAGGGGTATTTTGTACTTTGTGATGGGCAGAACTAATGGTTTTACTGGTAAACGCAATATATTTTGGAAGAAATATGGGTAGATGCATGAATAACAACATACTCTCATCTACTATCTAGTTATAGCATTATACTGTTACTCACATTTTTTTTCATTATATCAATAGCATCCAAAATAAAAGCCAACTTTTATTGCTATAATAGATAAATTTTTGTCAAATTTACATGGCATAATAAGCAAAGAAAAATTGAACGTGTGATGTTGTAGTTAAGTAGATTTATAAAAACATGAAGATAATAGGAAAGATTTTCATAGGATGCAAAAAATTACACAAAATTTTATAGAACAAAAGAAATTAAACAAAAAGGTATTACAAGTTACAAGTGATATATAAGAGCTTTCAAAAAGGAATATGATCCCAAATTGCTTACTAAATAAACATAATAAATGTTATGTGGTTTATAAAATGGTGGAGAAAAAGGAAATTCATAACGTAACCTAAAAACAAATACATTTAGTGTAATTTAGTTTCATATAACACTATACTAATCATTTAGTTTAGGTTTCCAAGTATCACATACCATTTAGGTCTCATTTTTCATATATAGCAAATTAGTTTCTTTTTATCGTTTCATTTTATTTAGCTATATGTTTCATTTCTCATAACTATGTAATGATTAAAGCTGTATTTGGCGCGCCACAGCTAGCTGATAAACTAACTTATTTTTTGAACTTTTTTATGTTGTCGTGTTTGGTAAGCCAAAAAGTAGCTTATAAGCTAGCTTTTTGAAAATCCACTTAGACTAGCTTTTAGGAGCTTTTTTAAAATTTTCCAAATACATCATTTAATTAATTATAGAAACGAATACTTTTAAATGTCTTTTTATATAATTTTATATATTTCAGCTAAGTTTACCGAACATTATTTTTTATCAACTAGCTTTTAAACTATCAACTAGTACGCCAAACATA